CAACCGAGACCGGCCCGTTCTGAAACCAGAACGGCCCGTTCTGCTGCACTGGTAGTGTGTTAATTTTCGCATCTGGAATGGTCTGTTTCAGTTGCAAAATTAACAGACGAAGAGTGCAACCAGAACGGCCCGTTCTGGTTTCAGAACGGGCCGTTCTGGGTCCAAGTGTTTTAAAAAAAATATGTCATCCACGTGGCATTCACGTATGCATCTACGTGGCATCCACGTGCCCAAAAGTTATCTCCGTTTAAATCATTTAGACGGAAGACCCACATTGAAACCAATTAATTAATTTGGGACTAAATTGAAACCAATTAATTAATTTGGGACCAAATTAAAACTAAAAATAAAAGTAGGACTACTTTGAAACAAAAAAAGATTATAAGGGACCAAAATAGGGTTTTAACCTTATAATGTTAGTAGTGGTGTAAAACTATATCAATATCTTAGCATTATATATACTAGTATGGTTACCTATGCGATGCACAGGTATTTGATTCATTAATATATATTTTATACAATAATAAATATATTAAAAAATAAATTATTTGATGTTTTAATGTAAATTTTATTTATATTTTAAAATTATCATTATCTTTATTTTATAATAAGATTAGAAAAAGTTGTTTATATAACATTTATAAATTAATGTATATAATAATGAGTTTATTATATCTTGTGGCCCATTACAATTAGAAAAAGTTATTATCTTTTTTATTGAACCATTGATATTAAAGATTTTATTATGAGATCACCAAAAATTAGTTCATATACATACTTAATATGCGTTAATTCTTATACACCGCAACATATAATATCAATTTTATGTTTCATTTTTTTTATACCTTATCTAGTCTAGTAATAATGAATATCGTTTTGATTCTTAACCTTGTAAACTTATTGAAAAAGACGGACACCAATAATAATATCAAGAGAAATAATTACATGAGAAAAATAAGAAAGATTCAATTAAATAGGAGACTATATGCATATAGTGTAGCATTTGTAAATATCTTATCATTTCATTCTATCGAAATTTAATATATTTAAATTTATTAAATAGTGTTAGATATGAAAGATTTAATTACTTAAGAATATTTAGTAGATACAATTTTTTTAAAAAATAAAAATAATTATTTTATTTATATTATACATAATATATAAAATAATTGATGCATATATTTCTTAAAAAATAAATTTTATAAGTATTCAGCATAATCATTATGTTTTAAAATAATAATATAAATCAATATATTACATTAACTAATAATTACAATCTAAAATAAAACTTAAATATAATGGATAAAAAACTACTCAATCATAAAATTATATTACAAAACTTAAATATAATGGATGAAAAAACTGTTAAATCATAAAATTAAATTACAAAAATAAATATTATTTAATATATATATATTTTTTATAATAATAAGATTAGTTTTAATGTTAAAAATTCTAAATATTTATGTTCATTATAAAAACATTATAATAGAATAATTTGGTCATTCCCTTATTTTTGTAATTACACTATTTTCTTTTTAATTTGTCTTTCATACTCTTGAATTATAATACGAACGTCTACTTAATATATATAATTTATGTTTCAAATTTTAAAAAATATAATATATCATTTAATGTATTTTCATATTATAAATTTTTATGCTTTGTATATAGAAGTTGAAAAACCATCTAAAGATAGCATTAATATTAGAGAAAAAAATTAATTTAAATATAAATTAACTGTATGAGAAAATTAATTTCCATAATTTTAATATATATATATATATATATATATATATAAATGCAACGTTAATCAAATGAAAATTAATTAATTATTATATCATATATAAATAAATAAGTTTTAGAGCAACATTATTTTAATTACATGCATGTAATTTAATAGTCATTTTAAGGGAAAATTATTTGTGAAGAACTTATGAAACATTGCATGGAAATTATACACTTAATAATTATCATTTAAGGAAACAATATTGCATGGAAAACTTAGGGAGAAGTTATCCGCTTTATAATAAAATATCTTTAATAAAATATGAAGGATGTTATGAACAACATCTGAAAATGAATTTGGCAGAATCTAAATGGGTTAAAAAATTATAATTTTTTAAATTATAAATTATATTTATTAAATTAAAAATTAAATATTAATTAATTTTCACTAATTAACAAAAATGTTTTTTTTTCTTCTTATAACTAATAATAATTACAAAGTATTTACAATTTTTTATAACTATTTTTTAAAATCAAATTCTATCTCTCGATTTTGATTAATATAATAATTAATACATATATAACTACTTATTAATTAAAATTTCAAATTACTAGTTACTTAATCCTAATTGTAGTGATATTATATAATTTTCATAATTATTAATACTAAAAAATAATTTATTGCATTTAATTATTGTAATTATCATTTTATAAAATAATTGATTAAATTTCAGTTACTAAAAAATTCAATCTTTTTTTTATTATGTCAAAAACTAATTAATTGAAAAATGTTAATTCAAAAAATATGATTTATGTGAGAAGAAAAATAGAAAATAGAAAAAAAATAAGGCGATTCAAAATATTTCAAGTCTTTTAATTATGTACAACTTTTCTATAAATAAATAAAGCATTATAGTACTAATGATATTCATCTTGTCTAGTACTTATTGTAAAATGTTCAATTTCTTTAACGAAATATATCAACACATCTAATTCAATGTTAACAAATTTTCTATCCTTCACTTATCCCACAACATTAACTATTTTGTAGTAACAAATAATTATAATTTACATATTGAATCACAAATAATAATAAAAAAGTTATTATATCTTTTTGTATATAATTTCTGTTAATTTCTCATTCTTCATTTATCAATCTTGTACAATACTAAAACAAAATACTTAAAACTCAATTTCAAGATTAAAGTACAATGTTTCTCAATTTTTCAATTGTCATTCTCACGTAAAAGAATTTACTAAATCCCAAAATATGAGTGAGAAAATAATGAGAAGAATGATAATGAAAGGAGAAAATGTATATTTGATTTTCTTGACGATGAAGGTAGTGTAGAATGAAAATTGGACAATAGAGGGAGAAATTTAATATTCATTAATAATGCAATTCATATAAAGTCAATATAGAAAGGAAAGCATACTTTTGTCCCAATCATACATGCTTTTTTAAGTTATTGCTAAGTTTTGTTACCATCAATTCACCATTTATAAATAAGTTTTGCTAGATACTATAAACACAAAAATAAAAGGCAAAAAAAAAAAAACTAATAAAGTACATAGAAATGTAGTAGGTGAAGGAGAAGAAAAAAAATGAAATTAAAGAACAATTATAAACTAACAAAGACTCATAAAATCTATAAAAAGAAATCAAATAAAATTTTTAGAAAATACATAATTGACATTAAAAACTATTAAAAATGTGGTGTTTTTAATTGGCACCATTAAATTTATTCAAAGCTAATGATTTAGTTTTAAAACAAATAGGAAAGCTTTGAATTCTAAAAGATAGAAAACTTTTAAAAATTAAGTGAGTCCAAGCTACATATTTTTGAGCAGAAAAATTTCCAAGGAAACTATTCAACTTTTAATATATATATATTAAAATACAAATTTGTTATAAAACGCAAGTATATATGTCACTGAAAGTGAATTTGTCAAAAAAAAAAAAAAAAAAAAAAAAAAAAAGAGAATAAATCATGGATTGTAATTGTAAGATTAACATAATGTGAGATAGGAGAAGATTTAATTGTGAGAAAAAAGGCTTGGTCAACCCAATTTCTGCTCCTAGTTAGCCATGTCATTCGGGTTATAATCCATATTTATATAATATATGTCCCAAAAAAACATAATGAGTTCCACTAGACCCCACCAAAGTAGTGAATTAATGGCCGAACGCCACTCTCGCGTTGACGCCAACAAGACGTACAACCTCATTCTCCTATATATGCACATAACTAACTTTCTCTGTTTTTGACACCCTCATACTCTCCATCATCTTAGCTAACACAACTCTCTCTCTCTCTTCCTACTACTTTCTTTTTTTGCCCCTTCTCTTTTCTCTTTTTCTTTTTTAAAATATCAACCCCTTTGGGCCTAATTAATTCCCTAAACATACATACATACATGCATTGTTTTTAGTCACCTTCGAGTTGAGGAACACATGTTTGTCACCATGCCCAATTTCACTTCTTTCTAAGTGTGTGTGTCTACATAGATTTGTTTTACATATATTTGAGGCTCCAAGAGGATTGATCACCACCACCATGTTGCAGGATGTTATCCACCCCCCAACATCGGCTGAGAAACTCCCCATTGTAATCACCTCAAGCTTGTTCGTTAATTACATGTCTCAATCATGTACATATATTTAGTGTTAATGTTAATTAATGCATGTGTTGATAAGCTAGATAGATATCCGTGTCATGAAAATATCTAAATGGTTTCCTTCTGGGTCTTGTGATTGTGTGGAACATCACAAGATTCTTTGAGAGATGGCTTTATTTATTTATTTATTTCAAAGATGATAATTTCACATTTCTAAAATGTATACAGATGGAAAGGGTAGAGAAAGAGACCCCCAGAAATTATAAAATTAAAAAAACAAATGGTGTAAGATTGATGTAAAGATTAATAGCATATTTGAAAAACCGTTAAGAACTAAGAAGTCAGATCTGAGATGTGGAAGCTATAGCTATTAATTTATTTTAGTAAATATAAAAAAACCACATCTGGTATGTGGAACTAAACATGTTATAAGGTGTGAAAGAAATGGATGATTTTTCTTATATTTTGTGGCCATCTGATATTAATTTCTCTAGGAATTTAATTATTTCCATGCATGTGAATCATGAATGATGGAAGAATGAATATGACTTGTAAATGTTTGTTGGCATGTTAATTAATTTGATCCTAATTAGTCTATGAGAAATGTGATCGATATTTCCCTTATTTGGTGATATTCCTAGGGCTAAGTGGAAGCTGGTAGTGCTATTAGCTATGTTAGAAAAACCAGAAGGCATGCTCACAATTTGTGGGACGGAACGTTTTCTTTCCTCTATTTATATGGTTGGAGAGCATAAAGTAATTTATTGACTGAACAATTAGGAAGGAATCAAAGACTCCGTGAGAGTGAGGCTCTACTCTTTTTGATATTATTGTCCAATGGCCCTACCATACACCAAAATGTTAAATGCCAACTTCCAAGGGCAAAGTTGTAAACTGATGTAACATTTCCGTGATAGTCATGTATAAACATAGCTTTCGGTTCGTTTGGAATATATATCTCTTTGGGGGCTTCTGGTGTAAGCTTTGCCATAATTTGATATTCTTTATTCAGTTAGATAGGGAGAAGGGTCTTAGTGACAACAATTCACATGGATAGCATATATAGCATTATGGGGTTCCTTCAAGTGGCTTTCAATTCCCAATGAAGGACAATTTCCACTTAATGAGCAAAAATAACATAGCATGAGGTTCCTTCTTTGTTTTTACATACTTGTAATTCATACTAACATTGCCTCTTACCTGTCACATGAAGGCATAGATGCACGTCCCTTTCACCAATATATAAGCCAACAATGCCAACCCTTTTGGAAAACTTCTCTTCAGTCTTTTACCAAATATGTACAAAACTGACTAGACTATGCAACCAACCACAGTCGTATGTAGAATTCCTTGTTGGGGCCTTTGCACATTGATTTATATCTTGATAAAGATTGAGGAGGTGTTGTGGAAGATACTATTATATCATTTGCCATGTCTTTCACTTTTGAAAGTTTCAGTTGATTAGAGAATATTAGCCTTTGAATTTCTTTTCTGTTCTAAGTGATCAGATCAGACTCATGTCTATCAACAAAAGAAGAATTGGATTCATATTTCAAACCCATCATCATAATGAAAAATAAAATAAACTATAGAGAATCACGTTTCCTAGTTTGTTTATAAAGAAGAGGCTTTGTTAAGACTATTCTAAGTCTGTGTTTAGAAGCTTATAGTAAACATGTTGCTCACAATGCTTATATGTCACCATTCACTGCAGGATGAGATTTCAAGCCCAATTAGTGCTCGAATTTTCGAACTTTGTGGCCCTGAATTTTTCCCAGAGACACTGCAAAATACTGAGGTTACCTCCAGCTCAAATTGTTGCCATGAAGAGAAGTCCTCATATGCCACAACCATATCACCACCTTTAGAAGTAGACAACAATAAGATCAGTATCAATAGCAATAGCAACATAGTCACCACCTCATCTAGTACTAATACAGCCAGCACCACGACTACCACCACCACCAACATCGTCAACAACAATAACAACAACAACGCAACAAATAACAATAACCTCTCTATCTTCTTTGACTCTCAAGATGACATTGACAATGACATCTCAGCCTCCATAGACTTCTCATCCTCTCCATCTTTTGTTGTTCCATCACTTCTCCCAATCACAACTCAGCAGGAGCAGTTTGATTTCTCCACAGCTCAGCCACAGGTGCAGCTATCAGCAGCAGGTTCAGTTTTGAAGGGCCTCTCTCAGTACCCTACTGACCCTGTGGTTGCACCCCTTATGGGGGCTCCATTACCATCTGTATTTGATGATGATTGCATATCTTCCATCCCTTCTTATGTGCCTCTCAACCCTTCTTCTCCCTCTTGCTCTTATCTCAATCCTGGCATAGGAGTGTACATGCCTCCTGGTTCCCTCAACACTGCCTTATCTGCTGACAGTTCTGGATTGTTATGTGGGAACATTCTTCTGGGATCTGAACTACAGGCACAAGACCTTGACTACCAGGGAGAAAATGGTGGAATATATTGCACAGATTCAATTCAGAGGGTGTTTAACCCACCAGACCTTCAGGTATGTGTAATTTTGCAAGCTACTATTACTAAGTTGAGTTTTTTCTTTATTGCTTTTAGCTTTTGGTTAGATTTTATTAGACATGCACTATCAATGCAAAAGTTTCTACATTGACTTAAGAGATTATTATTATAAAAATTAACAAACTTACCAGAGATAACAATTTGTGTTTAGATGACAATATAAAAAAGTTTTACATGGTCGGTACATATATTATTTATTTATTCAGTCAACTGGCAATAAACCAAATGAAAATTTTCAGTCCCAAATGTTAAATGTGTTCATATATAAGGAAAAAGAAGTACAATGGTCAAAGAAGTTTATTAGTGTTGCAAAGGTTGTTACTATACCATGCAGCAGTGAAGTTTTTTAAAATTAGAAGAGGCTTTATTAGAGGTGGACTTTGGGGGAAAGCTCATGGTCCACAAATCTCTAAACTGTAAACTCATATATTAAAAAATACTATAAATTTGGCCTAGCAAGAACCAAGAAGGAATAACCACTTTCAGCCAAAAGAAAAAACAGAAAAAGGATAACAAACAGTATCATCATTAGATAGAAAGAGCCACTTCAAGGGTGGCTGTGTTATATCTCTTTCTACAGTCTCTTTAAAGTTAATGTACAGTTTTTTAATAGTGAGTGGGCCAACATCTTTACTCTGTGTTGAATAAGAACTAAGAAATTGATCTTAGACTATAATTTCTCTCTCAGGCTCTTGGTACTGAGACTCAGAAACTTGTAACTGGGGCTGGGAGTTCTGCCACTTTGGCACCAGAAATCTCACACTTGGAGGACTCTACCTTGAAGGTTGGAAAACTTTCTGTCGAGCAGAGGAAGGAAAAGATTCACAGATACATGAAGAAGAGAAATGAAAGAAATTTCAGCAAGAAAATCAAGGTACTATATCTGTATACCAACATTAACAAATAAATTTGAAATCTTATATTATGTTATACATGGATTCTAATATATTTCGTATCAACCAATTCTTTTACTTATTTTCAAAATTCAACTAATGGTGAAAAAAAAAAATGCAGTATGCTTGCCGCAAAACTTTGGCAGATAGCAGGCCCCGGGTAAGAGGAAGGTTTGCAAAGAATGATGACTTTGGAGAGAGCCATAGACAAGGAAGTAGCAATCATGAAGAAGATGATGAAGAAGTAAGATTCCCTTAATTGTTCAACTTGCCTAAGTCTAAAATAAAAAATAAAATAACATAAAAAATTCCCTATCACTTTTACCTTTTCAATAATTTGATGGCATAATTCCTTAATGCTATATTCCTTCCATGTTGTACTTGCAGATAATTGTGAAAGAAGATGAGGATATGGTTGATTCCTCAGATATCTTTGCCCATATCAGTGGGGTGAACTCATTCAAATGCAACTATTCCATCCAGTCCTTGATTTGAGTTAATTAATTAATAGTTTGACTAGTGGCTTATCTATATTTAGCTTCTGTAGATTAATTTTGGCAGGGCTCTTTCCCTGGATATATGGTTTGAGGAAGCTGAATAATTGGGGTCCAAGTATTATACCAATAAGTGAACTGAGTTAGGAACATACAGATATTAGAATCTGTATACATTTTTGCAGATATTATTATCTTTTTCGTTGCTTTGTAAGTTGTAATAGAACTTGAAGTTTATTATTAACCAAGAAAAATTCCAGTTGTCCCCACTCCAAGACTCAATTAACCAATTGGTGCACCTTCTTTTATATAAAAGACATTCCATGTTTTTTCTTACGCACACACATTAGGGAAGATAGTGAGAGCTTATCAAGGGATTAATAAAATTTATATTAAAAGACTTTTCTAACATTTATTAATTATTATTATGCAATTTTTTAAAAGTTCAAATTGTAAACAATAATATGTATATCAAAACAGGATTCTCCTTTATATGCTTACATGTTCTAACTATTATTTTTAACATGGGACTAAATTGATTTATAGTTATTTTATAATGTTATGGACTAAATTGATAGATAATAATAAACTAAATCTATGGGAAACCCTAAATCCTATAACGCAAAATTAGGTCAAGATTGCATCTCATATCGGCTATAACCTCTTTGCAATAGATTTCTTTTCTTTTATTTATTTTTTTGGGACATTTGCGTAAGTCTAAAGAAGAGGTCCAGAGTGGATGAAAAGGAAACAGTTATACTTCTATTTCGGTAACTTTTGGAATATATTTGTCAAAATTCTCACCCAAACTTTTAGAATACTTTATTCTTTAAAAAGTATAGTTATCTTTTTTGTTTCTTGAAAATAGTTTAATTGTCGAACATAGCTTTCAAGTGATAAATAATTTATACTTACATCGTGAATATATATGTGAACGCTGGATTTCATCTCATGTTTTTGCTATCGTTGATATTTTATGAGTTAATCATTTATATATTATTAGTGTAAACAATTTTACATTACTAACTAATTATATCTTTTAATAGTATCATGTCAGTTACTTATTTAATAAAATAAAAATAAAATAAAATAATTTAAAAATTTTGATTGGTTACTAATGTAAAAAACTTTACACTGACTGTCTTTCCCTGGATATATGGTTTGAGGAAGCTGAATAATTGGGGTCCAAGTATTATACCAATAAGTGAACTGAGTTAGGAACATACAGATATTAGAATCTGTATACATTTTTGCAGATATTATTATCTTTTTCGTTGCTTTGTAAGTTGTAATAGAACTTGAAGTTTATTATTAACCAAGAAAAATTCCAGTTGTCCCCACTCCAAGACTCAATTAACCAATTGGTGCACCTTCTTTTATATAAAAGACATTCCATGTTTTTTCTTACGCACACACATTAGGGAAGATAGTGAGAGCTTATCAAGGGATTAATAAAATTTATATTAAAAGACTTTTCTAACATTTATTAATTATTATTATGCAATTTTTTAAAAGTTCAAATTGTAAACAATAATATGTATATCAAAACAGGATTCTCCTTTATATGCTTACATGTTCTAACTATTATTTTTAACATGGGACTAAATTGATTTATAGTTATTTTATAATGTTATGGACTAAATTGATAGATAATAATAAACTAAATCTATGGGAAACCCTAAATCCTATAACGCAAAATTAGGTCAAGATTGCATCTCATATCGGCTATAACCTCTTTGCAATAGATTTCTTTTCTTTTATTTATTTTTTTGGGACATTTGCGTAAGTCTAAAGAAGAGGTCCAGAGTGGATGAAAAGGAAACAGTTATACTTCTATTTCGGTAACTTTTGGAATATATTTGTCAAAATTCTCACCCAAACTTTTAGAATACTTTATTCTTTAAAAAGTATAGTTATCTTTTTTGTTTCTTGAAAATAGTTTAATTGTCGAACATAGCTTTCAAGTGATAAATAATTTATACTTACATCGTGAATATATATGTGAACGCTGGATTTCATCTCATGTTTTTGCTATCGTTGATATTTTATGAGTTAATCATTTATATATTATTAGTGTAAACAATTTTACATTACTAACTAATTATATCTTTTAATAGTATCATGTCAGTTACTTATTTAATAAAATAAAAATAAAATAAAATAATTTAAAAATTTTGATTGGTTACTAATGTAAAAAACTTTACACTGACTGAATAATTAACTCATATTTAACTTACTAAAACTAGCTCATATGCAAATTAATCATTTAAAATGTAGGATCAAAATTATAACAAATTTTGTTGATCCAAGCTTGATTTTCTTTAAAAACTAATTAATTTTTAGTCAAGTGAACAAAAAAAGCATAACTGTGGAAGAATCTTATCTTCTTGAATATGCTTATTTAATTTAATTAAAGTTAATTGATAATGACCAAATGTGACTATCTATCATATGTTGAAAGTGATTAGAATTTTTATTTTATTTTTACATAATGAGTATAGAAAACGGTAATAAACTTGGCAATGATTATATGTACCAAAATAAATATAAAATATGACAACATCAATAATCAATAATAATAATAATAATAATAATAATAATAATAAATTAGCAATGATTATGAATGAGATAGGGCGTGGACCACGTACTAATTCTCCATCCCGTAAAGATATTTATCTTCAATGTACCCATGACTTTGGGGAATATTCGTAAATACCTATAAATATCGGTAGATATCTAATAAATTAATAAAAGATATAAAGATTTTCAAATCAAAATTAATAATAAAAAAAAAGTTTTGTTAATAAAGGATTAATTTGGTCATTTATATCACTTTGTTTAAGTAATTTCACATATCAAATACCCATAAATATGCGCAAAGTGCAAAGTATAAAAAACCAAACCCACCTTCGTTATCGTGAATATATATATATATATATATATATATATATATATATCTATAATCCACATGTCAATTGTTATGTTATATGCCCATGAATGTTGCCTTGCTTAGCTAAAATAAATGAGTCGTGGAATGGATTAGTTTGAATAATTCGACAAAATATAGGTCTGGAGTCTGGACCAACATAATTGAACAGAAAAAAAAAATTGACTTGACTAAAGTTAACTTGATTTTGTTGGTCATGTAAATAAAAAAAAATGACATAATTAACTATAATTGTTAAGTCTCTCCTTTTTAAGTTTACACATCAAATTTTATCTTAAAGCAAGTTTTTTTTTGTTGATTTTTAAATTTAATACATATTAATTTAAACTATTAATATAAGTTACTTAATTAAATTATTATTTTATATTATAATTATATAAATAAATAAATAAAATAGATGTACAATGGATCAATCCTAAAAGTGAAAACAAAATATATAGAGAGAGAATGATTGAGAGGATATGGATGTAACTTTTATTAATTATTACACTACTTAATAAATTTATATTAAATTATTTTTAATTAATATAAAATTTTGTATAATAATTTAAGAGTAAAAATCTTTCAGGTAGATTTTTAAAATTTAAAATTATTAAATGATATAATAAATTTGTAAAAATTATATTAATGTGCTTTGAATCCTCCTCACACACATGGGGGACATCATCAAAATTTTGTGCCATAGAAGTTAAACTCATCCTAAAAGTGATGTCTAAATTACTAGTAACAAGTCTAACTTCTGAGTTAGGTGTTAATTTGTGCTAGGTTCATTTTAGTTAAAATTCTTCTTTTTGATGGATTCATTTTGTCTATTGAGGGTGAAACACTTGCTTGCATTGAACCATCAATTGGTTTAGAGCATTAAAATATCAGTTTGATTGTAAAGATGTGATAGATAGTACTAAAGGTAATTGTAAACTCGATCTAAGCTATGTGATAGATAGTACTAAAGATAATTGTAAACTCCATCTAAGCTGAGTGCTATTTTGCATACATGTAAACATAGGTTTAGTTTTTTTTTTAAACTTCGAGATTAATTTACGTCACTCATTAGGTGGTTTGGGTGTCACAATTTCATGCTAACTCTCATGGTTTTTTTTTTTTTTTTTAATTATTATATACCAAGTTGTTTTCAAGTCTTTATCAATATAAAAATCAAATGAACTTTTTCTGAAAAAAAAAAGTTCAACTTCCACTACAACAAAATTGATTATTACTGACAATTATTTAGTGACAATAAATTAATTGTCTTTATTTTAGTATTTAATAAAAATATTAATGACTAAAATATAATGACTACTAAAAATTATATTTATATCACACCAAAATTTACTATTAGCAACAATTATTTATTTGAGAAAATTTAAGTCCCACATCGACTAAAAATAAGATAATTAAAGAGTATATAAATGAATGATAACTCTCACCTTACAAGTTTGTTTTATAGAGTTAAGTTAGACTTATAACTTACTATTCTAAGTTAGTATTAAATTATTCACCATTACTAAACTCAATAGTCCCTAAACTTGAGGGAGTGTATTGGAAAAAATCCAAATCTCACATCGAATATTGATAAAATAATTAATTAGGACTCAGGAGATAAGATAATTAAAAAATATATAAGTAAAAGACAATTCTCATCTTACAAGTCCTACATTGAGTAGAAAGTAAAAAATGTCACAAAAAGCTATACGCTTTTTCTGACCATTATAAAGTTTTTTACGAGCATGCAAAATAATTGTCATTAAATGTTTTAGTGACACTACATATAATGACTATTGAGGAAATGCCGCTAAAGAATTTTGTAGCAATTTTTATTACTACTAAAAAATCATATTAAATACCACTAAAAATATATATTAAATACCACTAAAAATATATTTTATTGTGTAAATTCTGATCTCCGGTCTTAACTTCATCTACCTAACATTAAAAGGTGACCAAGCGACGTAGTATCAATTAGGTGTGTGTCCTAAATTTTCAACGGCTTTGGTTCGTAATTTGCCCCGTGGTCCAGTCAGTATACGGCTCAAGGTGACAAAGAAAAGACATACAAACCTCTATAAAAATATTAATAATAATAAAAACTTACTTCCAATTTTTCTTTTCTCTCTAGACATTCAAATCAACACTCCAACTCTTATTTTATTTTAGAATAAAATTTGGGTACATTATCATTAGTTCGGTTAGTGATATTAGAATTATAGTTTCAGTTTTGAAATGACAAAATAATTTAATTTTTTAATTATAGTACAATATAATATATTAGTCCATTATATATTTTGTCTCTGCATTACAATACCCGCATTAGTTTATATTTAA